AAAAAAAAAAAAAAAAAAAAAAAAAATCAAACCTGGAGTTCAAGCTCCTCCAGGGTCAGAATGAATAGTTGTCTTTTTCCATATTGACCTGTGGGATGAATAATTTTGCCCACTTCCCCAACACTACTTACAAAGTAGTGATAATACAACGCCAAGGTGTGTGGATATTTGTGCATGGTCATTCGTCAGGTTCTGGAGGACTTCTGCCACAAATCATCCCTGGTTTTGAACTTTTACAGCACTTTCATTTTGGACCTTAAAATTCAGAAACTGGTAATAGCTTGTTTTGGATCATTTCCACAATTATTTCCTATTTTGCAATCTGTTCTCTGCTCACAGAGTAAAAATCGTCTGGGACTTCAGCGTCTCCACAGCAAAAAGTCCAAAAACACGTTAACATTTTCGGTACAGTCATCCCCAGCCAATAAAAAGCAAAAGGTCGGCACGTGGTTTATTAGTTTGGGCAGGAGGGAGGTATTCCAACTAGATCCTTTCGCTCTTGCCAGGATCAAACATGGCGGGCCGCAGCCAGAATTTCCCGAACACCCAGTTCGCTTTCCCGTGACCCTAGTCAGTCTTCGACGCTCCTCTTTCTACCTTCCTTCCTCCTCAGCCGCTCCCAGAGGGTCAGCACTCGGCAGCGCGACAGCGGGCCTCCTTCCCGCCCCCACTCGAGGGCCCGCCCACCAGCCCGCGCCAGCCAATCGCAGGCCGCGCTGCGGCGGCTGGCAGCGCCGGCCGGCCCCGCCCCTCAGCCTCGCTGTGGCCTGCGGCTCCCGGGCCGGTAGCGCCGCTGTTGGTAGCGAGGACGGGTGGTGTGGAACCGCGGGTCGCGGGCGCTCGCCGCCTGCCACAGCTCAGCCCAGCGTCGCCGAGGCTGTGAGCCCCGAGCCTCCGCCATGGACTTCGAAGACGGTAAGCGGCGCCTCTGGCTGGTCGCCACGGCGGGCGGGAGGCGGGGTGGCCGCCCCGGGGGTCTGTTTACGGTCTCAAGATGGCCGTGTGGGCTTTGTTCTGCGGGCCCGGAGGCCGCCCGCCCGCCGCGGGCCCAGTGCCCGGAATCGGCCTATGTGGGAACCCGCGCGCCTTGTCGCGCCCGCCCGGCGCCCGCTGCCGCCGGGGACCTGGGAGTTCCGTGCCGGCCTCGGTGAGGGGAAGGGCGCGCCCAGAGCGCCACGGCCTCCGGTCTCGGGCCCCGGACTCGCGCTCCGGACTCGCCCCGGCCCCGGTGCATGGAAATTGCCCCGACGCCTCCCAACTCCCCGGTCTCGGGCAGAGGGGCGGGTGGGGCCTCCCCGGCCTCGCGTCGCGTTAGCCTCACAGGGCGGCGACCCAGCTCGTCCGTGTAGTAGATCCCCAACCAGGTTGCTTCTTAACAGATACAATTTCCAGAGGCTTGTTCACGGTGATGTTTCTCGTCTTAGTTTGAAGACGAGTTTAAAGGGCGTCCGTAAGTGACAAGTATAGGTAGATCTCTGTGCCGAATGGAAACCTAAGCTATTACTGGTTAGCAAACTGGGCTGTTTATCCACCAAAATTACCTGGTCGTTAATCCCTAATTTCAAATAGCTGCGTGAACCTAAGCATTTTTTTCCTCTGGATTATGTATGGATGGGACTTAAGTTAGAATTCTGGCACGGCATCACATGCCCTTCAAATTCAGCTCCGTGCCCAGCCGCCTGCGTTGGACTTAACGTTTAAGTAAACCGTATTCCAGCAATACCTTTCAGCTGTCTCTCACGCTAGTTCTTGAAACCATTTTCACAGGCTCCCAGAGTGAAATTAATTTGGTTTTCACCTTGTCTTCAAATCTTGCCCAACTTTTATAGGAATTGGTGTCAAGATAAAATGAGTCGGTTAGGGAGACGTGGAAAAGGGTTTCAGTGATTAAAGTGGTCTTAATCCTGAGTAACCAGACGTGTCTAATTAAAACCGGCTCGCTAACCAGTTGTAAGCCCCTCACCCAACCGAAACAATTATATTAAACATTGAACGTACTGTGATCTCAGCGTGAGTCTGACTAAACGATCTTTTGATCTTTGATTTGATTTCATGCCAAAAAGAATTAAAGCTGCCAAATCTAAGTAAATGAAAGGGGGCTGAAAGAACCCATGTTTTAAAAAGTTTATTTATTTATTTTGAGAGAGAGAGAGAAAATCCCAAGCTGTCGGTGCAGCGCCAGATGTGGGGCTTGATCTCACGAAGCCTGACATCGTGACCTGAGCGGAAATCAAGAGTAGGGCTCTTAAGCAGCTAAGCCACCCAGGCGCCCCTGGGATAACGCTTTGGTGGAGCCTTTTCAATTAGTTTGAAATAGGAAGTCCAGCTGTTAAGAGTAGCACACTCTGGTGTTTTTGTTTGTTTTGGTTGGACTTTGACTCATTTTGATACAGATACCTTAAAACTGTGTTTATTTGAAGTAGCGAAGCTGGGAATGAAAGTTAAAAATATATTGCTATGTTTTCATACCAAAGTTTGATGATAGTACCAACACTCAGGGTACAGCAGAAGCTACCCAGGTGGGGGGAGGGAACAATGGGAGTGGTTCCACCCCCCCCCCCCAAGGGAATCCATTTTCTGTAGAGAGTTGAAAAACAATAAAACTTAGTTTGCTTACTTTTTATTGTCACCATGTGCCTACAATTCCAGCGTTAGTAATAAAATTATAAACAGTGTCAGTGAGTAAACACTCCTCCTCTCTCTTGCTTCCTTTTCTCCTTTACTGCTATATTTGGGAGTGGAATTTGACTAACAATACATCTGAATCTAATCCTATGCAGTGTAGCTGGATTCTGTTGCATTCAAGGGATCACTGTATCAGCTTTCTTTCTTTTAGTATTTATTAGTAAAATTAATTAAAGGACTTAACAATTGCCAAATCCGTTTTAACGGAAATTGCCAATATGGTTTTTGGTGATGTCACATCCTGGATAGATACAGTGAAGGCAAACATATATGTTTGTGTATATGCATTCTCAAATAAGATCTTGAAAACTTTAGAGAGCGAGTAGGTAAAATAAATATATTAACTTTGAAACAGTTACATATTACATGCAGTCAATTCTCACATGGCCCTTTTTGCAATTTTTGATACATAATTTAATCTATCTGCCTTCCTTTTGTTTCCCTGTATAAATCAGTAGTGGATTCCCTTTTTTGGCAATTATTGTATATCAGGTGTTAAAGCGAATTTTTACATTTTAGTAATTTGGATGATTTGCCTCTTGGGGAGATAATGAAGAGAGATACATGTTTTCCCATATTAAATGTTTGTAATTATTTACACTCCATTTTTGTAGATAATAGAGTTAATGGCATTTTAAGAAATTCTGTTTGATTTGAATAGATAAGTATGTAATTTCAGATTTTTGCTAATATTGCACTAATTTCTTTCTGTTAAATGTGTCTTCATAGATTATACACACTCTGCTTGCAGAAATACTTATCAGGGCTTTAATGGTGAGTATCCTCTTTTGTTTTCTCTTAAATAACGTTAAAGGAATGCATTTCAGTTTTTCTCTACATGCACATAAAGTAACAATGTAAAAAGCCAGTTCTACCTTGTTTCAGTCATTGTTTTGTCTCTTCATGTATCACTGCTCAGTGTTAATGTTGTCACACTATGTATAGTTTTTTAATTAAGGAATTTGGGAATCAGAAAAAGTCAGGGCTATTCAGTATAGTTTGACTCTTTTGTTGTGTTTGAATTATGATTCCTTTAATTTATTCCAAAAGGCCTTGACTACATTCTGAGTGATGAGTTACAAGAAACTAGTCGAGTTCTTTTTGCTGACTGAGAAGCTTTGGTATTGAATAATGTAGATTAAGTGGATTATTGTCTTGGTTTTATATCACTTTTATTGTAATACATTTTGACCTTGTTTTTGAGGTCATTTGTTTTAGTGTCTAAATGTGTTTGTATATAAAGAGCTGTCTAGAGGAGCACATGAAGAAGCCTGATTGTTTACTTTATTTTTTTAAATATTTTTTTTAATGTTTACTTTTTGAGAGAGGGAGATAGAGTATGAGCAGGGGAGGGGCAGAGAGAGAGGGAGACACGGAATATGAAGCAGGCTCCAGGCTCCGAGCTGTCAGCACAGAGCCCATTGTGGGACTCAAACCCATGAACTGTGATATCTTGACCTGAGCTGAAGTTGGACACCCAACCGACTGAGCCACCCAGGAGTCCCTAAGCCTGATTGTTCATTGACTTAAGCATGACGTTAGAGTTGTGACTATAGAGCTAGATAAAATCATAAGAGGTAGGCAGAGTACAGTTGGATGTTATTTTGATAGTTATTAAAGTTCTGCCAGACAGGATGATAACACAAAAAAGAATGTGGAAGAATTCAGTGAGGTAAAAAAGGACCCCCATAGAGTGGAAGTACACATATTGATTGCCAGAGAAAAGGAAAATTCAGCTGTGTACAGAATATAATATATTCACAAAATAAAACTGAAGCAGGTGTACTAAATAAAACTATGTGCCATTTTATGAGAATAATTGCTGTCCAATTAATTTCTGTGTATCATCTTTAAGAATTTAGAGAAACTTTGTATTTGATGTGGGCTAAAAAAGCTCAATGTGTAGGAAGTAGTATATATTGAGTGCTGAAGAATACCTTTTTTTAAAGTTTATTTATTTTGAGAGAGAGAGCATGAGCAGGAGAAGGGCAGAGAGAGAGGGAGAGAGAGAATCCCAAGCAGGTTCTGAATTGTCAGCCCAGAGCTGGATGCAGGGCTTGATCTCACAAACTGAGATTGTGACCTGAGCTGAAATCAAGAGTTGGATGCTTCACTGACTGAGCTATCCACGTGCCTCTGGCTGTTGTTGTGATTGTTGTTGTTGTTTTCTTAATGTATTTTTGAGTAATCACTATACCCAACCTGGGGCTCACACTTACAACCCCAAGATCAAGAGTTGCATGCTGTACTAACTGATCCAGCTAGTTGCCCTTGAAGAACACAGTTTTGAACAGGAGAATGTCATAATAAAACTACCAGAGGAACTTTAATTTGTATCCACATTTAGGTAGATTGAAAACTGGAAACTTAGGAGTGCCTGGCTGGCTCAGTTGGAAGAGTATGTGACTCTTGCTCTTGGGGTTGTAAGTTCAAGCCCCATGCTGGATGTAGAGATTTCTTAAAAATAAAATCTTAAAAAAGGAAAAGAAAAGAAAAAACTGGAAAATAAGCTAAAAAGCCATTTAATAAATTTAGGTGTTAGGATTTAAAGATCCTGAACTTGGGAGAAGACAGTAGTAATTTTGAAAATAGTAAGATGTTTCTAGAGAAAATTAACAGAACTTGCAGGCTGACTGACTAGTAATGAGTAGAAAATTGAGAAGGATGAATAAAAACGAGTCCAAGATTTTAAACTGGAGTGAGTAGGACTAATATGTTCACCAAAGAGAGACATTTGGAATGATAAAAGGCTTCAATTTCTAGTAGTGTTTACCAGAGATTTGGATTTAATGTCTAAATGTAGGACTTTGACATGTAGAGTCATACCAGGCCAGAAGTTTATTTTCTTAGTGTACAGTGATGCAAAAAGAACTTTAGCAATTTCTATCACAGTGATGACTTTTTGTTTAAGAGATGCACTTTATTTTTTATTGAAGTATAATTGACATACAACATTACATTAATTTCAGGGGTACAGCATGATGATTCACTGTAGACATTGGGAAAATGATTACTGCAATAATTCTAGTTACCATCCATCACCATATATAATTAAATTTTTTTCTTATAATGAGAACTTTTAAGATTTAATCTCTTAACAGTTAAGTCATCATGTTATACATTATATCCTGTGACTTATTTTTTCCCCTCATGACTTATTTTTTTATAACTGGACTTTTGTACCTTTTGATTCCCTTTGCCCACCTGCACTCTCTCCCCTCTAGAAACCACTAACCTGTTCTCTGTATCGATGAGCTTGGCTTTTTTGTTTTGTTTTGTTTTGTTTAGATTCCACGTAACAGTATTTGTCTTGCTTTGTAACTTATTTCACTTAGCATAATGCCCTCAGGGTCTATCCATGTTGTTGCAAATGGCAAGATTTCATTCCTTTTTATGGCTGAGTCCTGTTCCTTGTATATGTGTACCCCATCTTTTTTATCCGTTCATCCTTTAGTGGACACTTAAGTTGTTTCCATACCTCTCCTATTATATAAATAAAGCTGCAACGAACATGGGGTGCATATATCCTTTTGGATTAATGTTTTACCAATGTTGTGAACTTTATTTTTTCTCTTAATTTTAGTTCCAACAGTGGTTTTCATCTGAGGGTGATTGTTAGATCCCCCTGGGGAGCTTTTCCAAAGTTTATCTGTTTAGGTCATACTCTAGTCCTCTTGAATCTTAGTTTTAAATAAGGGATCCCTGGTTGTGCATGTGATGAAAAAGTGCTGTGAATGACTTTGGAATGCATTGCTGGTTAAAGATCATTATTTGACAACACTTTGAGGTCTAGGTTATCTACACTTCATAAATGAGGAACTTAATTTCAGAGATGTAATTTGACTTTATTCATTTAACAAATATTTCTTGAGTGACTGCTGTGTATTAGATACTATTCTAGGAACTGGCAATATAGCAATGAGCAAAATGGAAAATATTCTTGCCCTTGTAGGGAGTACAATCTAGTGGGATGAATTGGAGAATAAGCAAGATAAAGAAGTAACACATATTGTATATTAGATGGTAACAATTGCTTAGAAGAAAAAGGCCACAGAGGATGTTGGCGGTGGTGGTGGTGGTGGTGTGTGTGTGTGTGTGTCTCTGTGTCTCTGTTGGGGAAGGACTTGCTAAGGTGATCTTTGAGCACAGATTTGAGAAGGTGCGGATGCAAGCCATGGCTATCTAAAGGGAGAATGCTGTAGGCTTTAGCAAATATGAAGCCAAATGAAGCCAACAATACAATTCATTGTTAGCATTGTCTTTTCCAGCGATTGAAATGAAGTAGAAGGTACTGGAAAATATGTCAAGTACCAAATTTCCTCCACACCATTTCTTGGAAGGAAGTTGTATTTTCAATGATTCCATGTTTCCTTCCTGCCTCACAATAACTTTATATAAACAGCAGAGAAAAAAAGGAGAGCATTCGAGATAGAGGAAAGCAGGAATAAAGGTACAGCTGAGTACCTTGTGCTTCAGAGAGACTTAAGAATGTTTTGACTAGAGCTGATGATTTTTGCTGAGCAGTCTTAAGACAGAGTTAGAGTGGTGAGGTGTAGCCAGAGGCATTGAAAATCAAAGATAACTTGTTTATATCTAAGAGACAATAGAAAATAAAGACCTGAAAGAGTGGAGGGATTGAGCAGTGCAGATACAGAGAAAGAGCGTTCCCGGCAGAGGGAGCAGCAGGTGCAAAAATGGGTGTGTGCATACTGTGTTCTAGGAACAGCTGAGGGTCTAGTATACCTAGAGTGGAGCGATAATGGGAGGAATGGTAGATGATGAAGTTAAGAAGTGATAGGTAAATCATACAGGGCAGAATTTGTCAGATATAGCAGTTGCCTTCTTTTTTAATGTTTATTTATTTATTTTGAGAGCAAGCGAGTGAGCGAGCATGAGCTGGGAAAGGGGCAGAGAAAGAGGGAGAGAATCCCAAGCAGGCTCCACGCTGTCAGCACAGAGCCTGATGTGGGGCTCAATCCCACAAACCGTGAGATCATGACCTGAGCCAAAATCAAGAGTCGGACACTGAACCAAGTGAGCCACCCAGGTGCCCTACAAGTATTGACATTTTGGACTAGATAATTCTTTGTGGGGGGATGTCTTGTGCATTGTAGACTGTTCAGCGACATCTTTGGCCTCTGTGCACTGGATGTGAACAGCACCTGCCCTTTGGTTGTGAAAACCAAAAGTGCTTTCAGAGATTGTCAGATGTCCTCTGGAAGGCAAAATTGTCCTTGGTTCAAAGCCACTGGTATAGGGCCTTACGGATTATTTAAGGGTTTGGCTTTTACTTCAGGCAAAATGGGAAGCCATTGGAAGTTACTGAGCATTGAACTTTATTTATTTAAGTTTATTTATTTAAGTAATCTCCACAGCCAGTGTGGGGCTTGAACTCACGACCCCGAGATCAAAAGTTGGCATGCTTTTCCAGCTGAGCCAGCCAAGTACCCTGAACATGATTTAAATTCACATTTTAACAGATTTATTCTGGCTGTTTTCTTCAGAATAAACAGAAAGGAAGCAAAAGTGAAAGCAGGAAAACTAGTTAGGAGGCTGTTGTAGTAACGTAGATTTGAGATGCTGGTGGCCTGTATCAAAATGCTAGTAGTGTGGAGGTGGTGAACAGAGGTCCTATTTCAAGAGTTGGTGTGACACAGCTTGTTAATTATTTTGATAAGTCAGTTGTTTTTTCCTGTTACTCCTCAGCTCCTTCCTTATGATTTAATTGTAACTGAGTTTTAACATTTGTTGAACTTATAGAGTGATCAAAGCAATAGAATAGATTTGATTTAAAACATGAGGTCGGTAATAATAATAAAGACATGTTATATTCTTCTAGTTTTATTTATTTATTTAAAAAATATTTTGATGTTTATTTTTGAGAGAGAGAGAGAGACAGAGTGCGAGCGGGGGAGGTGCAGAGACAGAGGGAGACGTAGAATCTGAAGCAGACTCCAGGCTTTGAGCTGTCAGCACAGAGCCTGACATGGGGCTCGAATTCATGGACCGCGAGATCATGACCTTAGCTGAAGTCGGAGGCTCAACCGACTGAACCACCCAGGCTCCCTGTTCCAGTTTTATTTTTAAAGTGATTTCTGAAAAGTTCATTTGGTAACCTGGAAGAATGTTGTTTATACAGAAGCAGTCATCTTATAGAATCTATATCCCTATAATCATACTGATTACATACAGTATAAAGACTTTTCCTTTTTTCCTTTTTAATTAACTGAATAGTAACCATACTATGAATAATAAGCCAAAATCATTGCTATGTAGTTTTCTTAATTTTTGTGTACTCTACAGTGCCTGGCATAAGGTGGGTGTTCAATAAATAGTAGTAATTTATGACTGCATAGTGAAATAAAAACACAGAATAAAAAACTAAAAGATTTAATATTTGAAGGCAGCCTCTGCGAGCTCAAAATTGAAACTCACAGAAATAACAATATGAAACTTTTTGCTTTGTTTATCTAACTGAACTTAGCTCTAAGAGTATTTTTTAATATGAGGTTTAGAGGAAGGCTTTTTATTTTGAAATTTTTATTTTAATTTGAAAATTGCCCTCTATCTGAGATAATATAAGAATAAATTACCAACTCTAAAGACAGATAATTGACATTGGGCTCTCTGCTGAGCATGGAGCCCACTTAAAATTCTCCCCCCACCCCAATACCCTTCTCCCCCACTTGTGCTCTCTCTCTCTCTCAAAAAAAAAAAAAAAAA